GGGCTTGAAAGGAGGCCCCCTGTTTTGGGTGACTTGAAGATTTCGCTGTTCGGCGTCCATTTTGGTGTTTCTATCTGGCTTAACAACGCTTACCTCTCGCGCTGTGAAATCCATGCCTTTGAACCCAAATGCCTCCAGACACTTTTCGTGGGATCGCCTATTCATGCCAGCGGCAGGCTTCTGTAGACTGAAGAGGTAAAACATAATGAGACCACTTTCTGGCGCTCGAGTCCCTTGATCCAGTTGCAGTCCAGATGGCTTTGGTCTGACCGAGTAAGCCATCTGGTTGCCCGCGTTGCCGTGGAACCCTGTGGGGGTTTTCGCCTTCCTTTGGCCTTCCTTTCGCAGGAGCTGCTGCAGAGCTGGTTCCGTCTGTGCTACAAGGCAGAGATGAACAGCCGATATGAGCCGACCCCAGATCAAATTAACCATTGGTCGTTTAGTTCCTGAGTGGGTGGGAGTCCCCAAGTAGAACTCACCAGGGTTCTCTTCCATTTGGTTCAAAGGGACACGCCCACAAGACCCCGCGTCTATTCCCGGATTCGTACCATGACAACAACCAAGCTCTTTGAACCTGCTTTCACGACGCTCGCGACCAACATCTGGCCGTTGAAGGTTTTGCTTGAGTCATGAGTTTTTCCAGTCCATGGGCTCTCAAAAAAACTTGCTGGTTCTCAGCATCCAAGGGAATGAATGACTCACATGAACCCTTATGTTGCTAGAATCATTCCCAAAACCATGGGTCATTCCCTAGATCACAGCCTATGGCCCGGGGGGTGGTGGGGTCCATCTCTTTGAACTCCGGGGTTGGGAGCTTTCGGGATCGAGAAGCGGAACTAGGCTGGGCGGTTCTCGGTTGCACTGGTATGGCACGGCGCCCAAACAAGAGGTTGCAGATAAGGTGGCCGCACAAAATGAGGATTGCACAGCTGAGATAGATCTTCAAGCTGAAAAGGTGGCAAGTAGACCCGCTCAGTGTCTTGTTTTGGGCCAAGACCCGTGACACTGCAGGGGCCCCAGAATTGGCGCACCTTGCCCACCACCAAGCTGGCACTGGAGCGTCGCCTGCGCTTTGCCCGGGAGATCCTGGCGAAGGCGCCACCCACACTTTTTTCTTACTTTCAGCGGAGCCTTCCCCATCCAGTTGCCCATTATCTTGAATGTTGGGTTGGATCTTTCAGCTTCAAGTTTTTTGTAAGTGAGAAGCAGTCCCACTAGCCTCCAAAAGTGGGGGCAAATAGCCATTTGTGACCACGACGAAAAGGCCACTTTGATACATACTTCCGGAATACAGGCCACTTATCATCCCGTTGAGATCCGGCTACCGTCAGTTTGGTGCGTTAGAGCCCCGAATCGGTATGGATTAGTTTGGGTCCACTCAAGCGAGGGTTATTTGAAGTGGGGACTGCCATCCCTGGTATGTTTACTCACAATTCAACCAGTGCACCCTTTTGGGTGAGTGGTCAAAAAACGGAGAATTCCAATCAAAGCAAAGCATTTGGGGGTTCCGAATTGCAATTTGGAGACGAACCCTGTCCTTTTTCGGGGTAGGGGGGACACAGGGGGGGTCTGTGCAAGCTCCTTCAGGAAAGGGTATCGGTTTTTTAGGAAGTTCTTGGCTGCACACATATTCCCTGTAAAATCAACCAAACAGGGCCTGCCCTGTTGTTGCCCATGGAAGTTGTGGCAAGGGGAGAAACTCCTCACCAGCAAACTCCAGGCGTGTTAGCCTTTGAGCACTCCCTCAAGGACCCCACAAGACAAAGATTGAGCGCCAGCTCGCTTGCCCAAAGCGAATCGACGTTTTGACCTTTCAGTTTCCCCTTGTTGGTCTCAAGTTCTTAGTCATGGCCAAAAAACAGCTGAGCAGTTTTCTTTTTCGTCCGAACTGGGCAGAGCCCACATTATGGAGTCCCTAAGAAGGGCCCTGGTACAAGCGGGTTAAATCAGAGCCCGCAGGGTTCCCGAAGGTTCCTTAGAGTTCCTCAGGGAGGAGAAGGGAATCCCATGGAAATCCTTGGCCGATCCGAGAACTCCGTGAACCTTCAAATCACCGACGAGGAGTTCATGGCTTTGGACCTGCAGCGCATCGGCACCGGGCGCCGTGGAGAGAACACGCCGTGAACCACTCAGCGTAACTTCTCCCCCCGAGTCTGGAGTAACCAGGCGAAGAACCTGGACCTCGCCTTTTTTTTTCTTCCTCGGCTCCCTTTTTGGTGTCGAAAGGACATTGAAGTCGAAACTGAGGGTGTGGGGAGAGATTTCTTCTGCAGGTTTCTTAGGCGGTGACTCAGAGCACAATGCGCGACTGGAAGCGGAAAGTCGCCCCGTAACGGTCCAGTGGCACCTAGTGGAACCTGGTAGTTTCGTGGTGGTGTTTGGTTTCCACTTTCTGCGAATGCCCAAGTTAATGGAAACCCCTGGGCAAATAAACCCATCCTAAACAGGGGTGCCACTCACAACAGTGCTCCGGATTTCCACTAAAAGGGCACCCCCCAATCAATATCAACTATGGTTCTGCTGGAACCGGGGTTGACATTAAAGAGGTTCTAAAAAGGGTATTTGTTTCCAGCTCTGCGCGAAACGCACAGGGCTGACGTTTAGTATTCGGGCTAGTGCGGCAAATAAGTGGTAGATGCAGGTCTTTCACAAGAAGGTCACTCTTGCTGAAATGTGGACCCTGGGTTTTGTGTGGTGGTCCCAAGCAAAGAGCCCCTCAAAATGGGATCCCCAATCATCCGAGAGATTCTTGGCTTACCTGGTTGGTGCTACGAGTTGGGCTGATTGTTCTGAGGGTCCTCGAGTTCAGAGACCGACTGACTGGTGGGAGGAAGTGGTGGGGGGGGGGCCAACCCCAAAAAATCTCACGAAAACCCCAGGTGGGGAAAGAGGCGACTTGGTCCGGCGCGTATCTTTTTTGAGGCTAGCCTTGAGTTTGTGTACACGAAGCCAAAAGTAAACCGCAGTTTTCCAATGAGACAAACCCCATGGCTCACGTTTGTGGACCCGAATGGTGGCTGAAGCAAAATGATCTCAGGTTCGGTCAACATACCGGTCTATGACCAATTTGAGACATGTGGGGATAGTCACAGCCAGGGCAGAAGGAAAACACACATTTTTGGATTTCCCCCTACTTTGACACATGCCCACGAAGTCTCGCATGTCCTATGCGGCCCAGGGTGGGCCCTCCAACGATTGTGCCGCTCTGCTTCGCGCTGCTGAACCATTCCTGCTGTCCCAATGTGACTCAGAAAGGAGGCGTTTGGGTGCTAGTTATTGGAGTTGGTACCCTTGTTTGGTTTGCTTCAGCAGGAAACCATTGGTTACCCCAGCATGTTACATGGGGTGCACGTTTGACACAGATCAAGCCAACAGGGGCTTATGTGCAAGTCATTGGCCAGGTGTGACATGGGTTCCCAACTTTTGCAGACAGCCTGGCAAAAAATGCAGGTGACTACAGGTCCCCACCCCCACCCCACCTCCCAGTTGACAGCGCCAAGCCCGGTTTTCCGGAGAAGCGGGCTCAAATTTCAACACCAGTTGGGATGGATTGAGCACTACTTGCTGGTTCTCAGTCGGGAGTCAGCCAGGGGCGGCTGGGAATGAACTCAGGGATCCCCTTGCAGGAAACCACAAGGGATTGCTTATACGGGTCATTCCCACATTCAGCAAGACTGAGAAAGCACCAAAAGGAACGAGCGATCTCACCGATCCGGGGGTAAAACGAGCGGGTTTCCCCATGACGTTCCTTTCTTTGGCATTCCAGATGCATACGCTTGAAGACTTATTCGACCATCTGGGCAAAGAAACGAATCGTCGCGACCTCCGGATTGCATCTTCACCATGATGCTTCTTTTCATAGGGAGGTCTCTCATAGTGGTCCCCTAGATTGGTCGGTTCGCTTTGGTTCCCTTAAAATTTCCCCAACCATTTTGAGACACACACTCCCATGGGGATCATCAGATTCAGTTGGTGAATCTCGTGCTTCAACCTACAAGAAAACGCAACGGATTTTGAGGCGAGGTCTCCATTTGAGGCTGTGCCAGGGAATAATTTTACTCTGGCAGGATACCACAGCTGTATTTGTGTCGCATCGAGCTGTGCTTTTTCGGGTCTGTTTGGACGCAAGGGACATTTAGGTTTCTTTGTTCGTGACTGTCCCAAACTGGATCCGCCTGTAAATGATGTTTGACGGCAAACCAAATGCAAGCCAATGATCTCTGGTGGTCCCTCTTCACAGAAGCCTCGCTTGAATGTGCAAGCTTTTGACCTGGGGTTCATTCCACTCAGGTTGCAACAGAGCTGAGCACGAGCTTTTCAGGAAGGAATACAAGGGCGGTCTTCCGTTCGGAAGAGGACACGTCCTTTGGCCCGAGGGGAAATGTTTCTGAGGCCAAGCTGATCTATCGCGGCTGTCAGGGCTCTTTGACTTGTATGAGGCCCATTGAGGCGGGCGAGGACTGCGATTCGAGAGCTCAAACCTGGTCGAGTCGAGCCAGCTGTGTACCTTGAGGCATGTATGAGTACCATTCTTAGGAGTACCATTCTTAGGGATGCTAGGGAAGCCAACAGGAAAGCCACCCATTTTGGGAGCCTCCTCTTTTGACACCCAAAGCCCAAAGCCACTTGGATTTGGCTGGACTTGCGTCAATTTGGGGACAACAGTTCATTTGCGCAGTTGGGTTGCTCTCACCTTCCATTTGGCGGGCTGACACACCTGGCAGAAGCCGGTCAGTTGAGAGGGGGATCTTGCGAGGTTTGTGGAAGGAAGGGTTAGACGCAAGTGATTTGCCTCGCAGCCAACGAATCTGGTGAGGCAGGGGCTTTGGGGTGGCACTCTCATGATATTTCTGCCACACTTTTTATGAAGCCTTGGCGGCTTTGGAGATTTTCCATACCGTACTCCTAGCATATACGCATGCGGGTTGGGATTTTCTTCCAAGAAGGAGCTGTGCTTTACCCAACTTGTTGAAAGGCAGCAAGACCCCCCGTTTCACGCACCATCGACATGTGCAGCCTCAAAAAGGGTTGCTGAGCCCACAACCAAAGCCATACGCCTTCTTCCCCCAAGAAAGGGCCGTCACCAAGACAACCCGCCCCACAAACGATGCCGAGCTCAAGGACCAGTCAACCTTTCACCTTCACCGGCCGAAGACTAGTCTTTATTTTCTGTCTTTGGTTTCAATAGGAACCTATCACCACTGGACATGTTCTTATTTTTTCCAGGGGACTTGAGCAAATGAAAGAAATAGTTTCAAATGTCGTCAGCTTCTCAGATGTATCTTTTAAAGAAGCCCTTTTTCTGTGACCCCAGAAGGTCACAATTTGAAAGCCATGTACCCCAAAACAGAGTTCCTTCCCTTTGGTTCCCCTGTCAACAATCCCTCGTCATCGCGACCAGCGCGAAGGTGGCGACGGTGGAGGCTCCCCCTCGTTCTACATTCCCTCTTTTCTACCTCCCCCCTCCCCAAAAGGCCCCCCCAAAAATAAGCAAACGAAAGAGACACAAGCAACAACCCGTGGAACTTCTCCTGGAAGGCCGCATCCCCCCAACATTCTTGCCAGACAAATCGCACCCAGGAGATCTTCATTTCTTATATCAATGAAGTGGACGAGGTGCTCTCCAGGCGGATCGCGAGTGTCAGATGCCCCAGTTTTTTGGGGGCTTGAAAGCTTGCGGCACGAGTTTTCCGGGACGACCTGTGCAAAAAACAGAGGAAAAGCCATTTGTTTTTTCTCGGAGAGAGAGGACGCTGATGTGATTCTGCCCTCTTCGGCTCATCTTTTGTTATCTGTTTTTGCTATACCACATGAAAAGGCAGCAGGGTTAAAGGGGTGGTTTCCGTGCATTGACCAGCAGCAGCAGCAGCAGCAGCATCATCATTATCACCATTATCAATCCTCATCCTCATCCTCATCCTCATCATCATCACCATCATCTTTCATCATCATCATCATCATCATCATCGTCATCATCATCCTCATCATCATCATTCATCATTCATCATCATCATCATCATCATCATCATCATCATCATCATCATCATCATCATCATCATCATCATCATCATCATCATCATCATCATCATCATCATCATTCATCATCCTCATCATTATTCTCATCCTCATCCTCCACCTCCTCCTCCTCCTCCTCATCATCATCATCATTTGTTTTAGATCATCATCATCATCATCATCATCAGCATCAGCATCATCATCATCATCATCATCATCATCATCATCATCATCATCATCCTCATCCTCATCCTCATCCTCATTATCATCATCATCATCATCATCATCATCATCATCATCATCATTCATCATCATCATCATCATCATCATTATCATCATCATCATCATCATCATTCATCAGGATCATCATCATCATTCATCATCATCATCATCATCATCCTCATCATCATCATCATCATCATCCTCATCCTCCACCTCCTCCTCCTCCTCCTCATCATCATCATCATTTTTTTTGGATCATCATCATCATCATCATCATCATCATCATCATCATCATCATCATCATCATCATCATCATCATTATCATCATCATCATCATCATCATTCATCAGGATCATCATCATCATTCATCATCATCATAATCCCCATCATTATCCTCATCATTATCCTCATCCTCATCCTCATCCTCATCCTCATCCTCATCCTCATCCTCATCCTCATCATCCTCATCATCATTGTCATCATTGTCATGATTGTCATCATCATCATCATCATCCTCATCAGCATCATCATCATCATCATCATCATCATCATCATCATCATCATCATCATCATCATCATCATCATTCATCAGGATCATCATCATTCATCAGGATCATCATCATCAGGATCATCATCATTCATCAGGATCATCATCATCATCATCATCATCATCATCGTCTTCGCCGTTATTGTGCCTTGTCAAGGCACGTAGGCCTCTGTGGTGATGGATCATGATGATGATGATGATGATGATGACCCGCGGCACCCTTCTCATGCGCCTCCTCTTGCGAGAAGGGGTCACCGGATCCTTTGGTTTGGATGAATCCGAAGGCGACAATATGGAAACCATGAGGGACGCCCCTTACTTTTGCTCGCCTTGCACGGGCGAACAAGCCGAACGCGAGGCAGCTGTGGCATAGGAGGTGTCCTGTTGTCAATGAACTTGCAATGAGATGGTCATGTGTCAATATATCCGTCTCACATCCTTCTGGGTGAACGATCAGAATTCAGAACTAACATATTCAGAAAGAAAAAAAAAACACCCAGAGCCCAGAGGGGAATCTTCATGCTTTTCGGCCACAAACCGGGGAAACAAACAACACATTGTGAGGTGGCGATTTGCCCAAATCATCCAGACACCACCCTGCCCCTTTGGAAAAAGGACTCACCATGTTTGATGGGAAGGTCAACTTGCCATTCAAGACTTGCAGTAGCCCCTGTTGAGAAAAATGCCCATCGGGCTTACAAAATGCCAAAACAGCGACACACACACACACACATACCCAATGGTGGGTTTGCGGTCAACATGGTGCTTCTTGCGAACGTCTACGATAGAACCGCCAAAAGACAGCAACCAGTGCTCAGCTTGAAGGAATTGGACAACACCCTACGGGATGAATGTTCATTTCCATGGATGCGTCTTCTTGAATACCTGAGGGGGCATGAGCCAAAATTGGTGGTTGAATAAAAGAAGCTTGAAAAAAAAAGACAGGGGGCTGCAGAAATTGGTGGTTTAAGCAAAAGGGGCGCTGGGAAAAGAGGATGCCTCCAGATAGACATTTTTAGGGAAGAACCCTGAGAGGCGGTATTACATGCTGGAGCTTCACGGTGTGAAGTGCCTCTGCCCTCGCTGTGCCGCAAACTTTGCCACCGGCGACTGTAAGGTGGACCACTGACGGAACTGGCGCCGGACTGTTGGGTACGTATTTTGGGTGTTCATTTTTTCGGGGGCCCGGGGGCCCAGAAAAGCGGTTTCCCCGTGCTTTTCCTTTGAAACAGCAAACAACGAGGTAGTTTCCATCAACAGGGACCCAGGGCAAAACGGGGTATCCCTTTTAGAGGGGCTATATGGCTGCTCAATGGCTGTGCCATGAAACCCCGAACATGGGCGGTTTGAGGGTAGCGGACACCATGGGGGGGGGGGGGAGTGCACATTTTAGGAGGTCAAAAGTGGAAACCCATACTCAGGTGCATAGCCTCCCACAAAGAAAATGGTGTTTGAGAGCATGCTGTTTTACAGGTACTCTGGTTGGTAACATTTGGAATATCACCAACTGTTTAGTTTGATGTATTAATTGGTTACCCTCAATACGTCTATCATGCGTTAAAAAGTTTAACATATGCTTTTGGGCAATGTAGACAAGTTTGGGTTTTCAAATCCACATATATATATATACACATTAGATAATATAGCTCATAGAGCAATGATACATGGGAGCTTCAGACTTCAAGCGGCAAAGGATCTTTGGCATCCATGTCCATCTTATTTGGCCTGCTCCTCTGACTTCTTTTGTTTGAACTTCAGTGAGGAAGTTGGATAAAGAAGAGAATTGCCTGTTTATACCAACTTTACATATCGGCTATTGGTATATCCCATTTTTTGGGTAAAGGCAGTGCTCTTGATGCACGGTGCTGTGAAGAGGTGGCAATCCGTCCGCTCCGTTGAGTGGACTTCGTGGTAGTGGTAGTGGATTTTGACCAACGGGAAAATTCATGATTGCTGCGTCGAAATGCTAGCCCAGATGGTGAAAAAGGCAATTTCATGCCTTGCACGTGCTGCTCCTGGCATTGGAGGAGATCCTGTGCATTGGTCAATTTCTTAGTGGTGTGCTTTCAATCAACACTGCATGTGCTTGGGTCAGGATGCAAGTACTAACCCAACCTGTAGAAAGAGTGTCATCAACCTTCCGATAATTTGGACCGCTGACAGGGTCTCTGACGCAACAAGCCCGAAGGAGCGGGACATACCCCACGGAATGTCTGGTTAACCACCCTAAAAGTTCCGAGCTATCCATCAGAAGATCCGGTCCTACTTTGCGGGTTCTTGGAGGTAAAATCGCCGCTTTTGACGCGGCTCGGAACGGCAACAATTCGGACGGCCCTTTCGCCCGGAGGTGGTGAACAGCTGGGTTTGTCCCTGCTGCAAGTCCGCCGTCGAGGATCAGGTGCCCCGTGGCCGAGGGATGAAGGGAGCCGTTGGTGGGCAGGTAGGGTACGTCCTCACAAAGCTTACTTCGATGAGCTTGAATAGCATTAACATGTACACTGCCTTTCGGCCTCGCCGTGGGGACATTGCTTTGTTTTGCATGCCATACCTATACTGTTGGACTAAGCGCATCTCTGATAGCATCGCGCAAGCCCATGAAATTGTAAACGCTTCGCGTTGCCCGCCTCGGCCCAGCCTAGTTTGAGGGAAGGGTCAGGAACACCGAAATCCAGTGTGGCGCTAGATAGGCTGAGGCCTGCGAGTCTCAAACAGGGTGGGCTTGGGTGGGGTTTGCTTAGGCGGGTTGCTGGTTGGGCTGGGCCTGAAGCTAGTCTCAGCCACGAGGCTGCGAAGCCATGGGTGGGTTGCTGGCTGCTGGGCAGCCGGACTACGCTGTTGGTTGTGCCTGGAACTTCGGCTGGGCGGTGAGCTGTGCTTGGGCGGGTCGCTGGATGGGCAAGGCCTGTCTCATACACACTTGGGCCTGAGGCTGGGTAGCGAGGCCAGTCGCAGACACGTAAGACACGCCAGCAGGCGGGCTGAGGGATCAGGCTCGTGAGACCAGTCTGAGACTGCGCCGAAGGGGCTGGGCCTGGGGGCCAGACACGAGCAGGAGGTCAAGGCTGGTCAGCCTGGGCTGAGCTGCTTGGGCAGCCGGACTGGGGGGCTGGGGCACGGCTTGGTAGCTGGCGTAGCTTGAGACCAGTCTCAGACACGTGAGACTGGTCGCTGGCCTGAGGCCTGACCTTGGCACGCTGGGCTGAGCCTGCTGGATGGGGGCCGGCCTAGTGGCCGGCATGCCCTGAGATGCGCCGGGGCCATGGCTGGGCAGGCTGGTGGGTGGCTGTCAGGGCAGCCGGACTACGCTGCTGGTTGCGCCTGGAACTTGGGCTGGGCGGGCTGGGGAGTTGCTGGCTGGGCTGGGCCTGAGGCCAGTCGCAGACACGTAAGAGCCTGCTGGATGACTTGGGGCCAGACGCGAGCAGGAGGTCAAGGCCTGGCCAGCCTGGGCTGAGCTGCTTGGGCAGCCGGACTGAGGGGCTGGGGCACGTCAGACAGGCTTGGTGGCTGGCGTAGCTTGAGACCAGTCTCAGTGAGAGTCGTTGGCCTGAGGCCAGTCTCAGACACGTTAGACAAACCTGACCTTGGCACGCTGGGCTGAGCCTGCTAGTTGCTGGTGGGCTGGGAGCTGGGGGCTAGTGGCTGGCATGTCCTGAGACGCCGGGCCTGGGCTGGGCAGGCTGGGCTGGGCTTGCTGGGTGGCCTTGGGCCGTGCTTGGGCGGGCGCTGGGCCTCAGACAAGCCTGAGCCTGAGGATGGGTGCAGGCCTGGCCAGCAGGCGGGTTGCTGGTTGGGCTGGGCCTGAGCCTAGTCTCAGACACGTCAGACAGGCCTGGCCAGCAGGAGGTCATGCTTTTCAGGACCAAAAAGCAATTTTTTAGTGACAATTGTCAGCACATCTTCGACAAAAATGGACCCTTGGAGCTGGACGCCGACGAACCCCGAAAATTTCAAGGCCCGCCGGACAGGATTTTGGGGCCAGCCGACATGGGTGGGGGGGGGGGGGGGGAGGGCGGGCCGGCAAAATTTTGGTTGGGGAGGGGTTGGGGGAGGGGAAAAGCGAAGATTCTCTTTGGAGAAGAGATCTGAGCGCCCTTGGCCCCTTTGGGGCCGAGGCGAATATGTACCAAAGGGACCCGTTTTCCTGCAGCTGCGGCCGCGTGGGCCAGAACCCTGGCAAAAAGAGAACCAAAAGCCGAGCAAGAACCATCCCAGCAGCAAGCAGGCGTGAGGGCTGAGGGAAACGTTTCCCGTTCGTTCAATATCTATGAAAAGGCGTCCTAATCGCCGCCACGCATCAAGGCTGTCGAATGCAATGGCCCTTTGAAGTGGCTTGAAGTTGCCTCCAATGGTAACAACGCTCATGCCGAACTGCTTCCCAGGCCTGACGACTGTTTCGCTGACGATTGCAGCTTTGCATAGACCGTCAATGGATGCTACCGCCGCTAGTGATGGGGAATCGCGGAAGGTAAACGGCCTAAAAGGACGGCCTTCTGCCAGACAGCGCCTGCGTGCGAAGCCGCGTCGCCAGACGCTTCCAAATCACTAGATGCCAGCTGCCAAGGGCAAGCAAACCGAACAGTCTAACAGACAGATGACACCTGAGAGGAAAAAGCGAGGGCCAACCAGCCAACTGAAGGAGACACTTCCACATCCTCTTTCTCGTTCTGAGTGGAGGACGCCCGCTTCAAGAAATGATGATACTGGGCATATTTAGATGGAATTCGGCTCGCAGCAACTTCAATTTTGCTTTCAACGAAGCCGAAACTGGAACTTCAATCGCCCTTTTCATACGAGGGTCAACACGAAAAGCAGCGTGTTGATTGTTTTGGCATCCTATTTCCATTGGGATCTTCTCTTCGAAACATTGCTTTGAAATTCGCCGGGCGTTTAGCGCGCTGCAACTCTTGACTGGATCCAGCATGCCTGCGAAATGATCCTGGCCGGTACACACATAGACATACATAGGCACGCGCACGTAGACATACATACGCGCATACATAGACATACGTACGCATACACAGACATGCGTACATACATGCATGCATGCATACATACCTACCTACATACACACCTACCCATCTACATACATAATACATACATACATACATACATACATACATACATACATACATACATATATACATACATGCATGCATGCATGCATGCATACATAAATACGTACAGATTTGCATACGTGCTTACCTACTTACCTACATAGGTACATACCTACCTGCCCACATACCCGCATACCCACATACCGACCTACATACACATACACCTACACACACACGTGCTCACACACATACACATACACATGCGCACACACACACAAACAAACAAACAAACAAACAAACAAACAAACAAACAAACAAACAAACAAAAAAACAAACACACAAACAAACAAACAAACAAACAAACAAACAAACAAACAAACAAACAAACAAACAAACAAACAAACAAACAAACAAACAAACAAACAAACAAACAAACAAACAAACAAACAAACAAACAAACAAACAAACAAACAAACAAACAACCAACCAACCAACCAACCAAACAAACAAACAAACAAACAAACAAACAAACAAACAAACAAACAAACACACACACACAAACAAACAAACAAACAAACAAACAAACAAACAAACAAACAAACAAACAAACAAACAAACAAACAAACAAACAAACAAACAAACAAACCAAAACAAACAAA